AGACATATGTAACACTTTAAATAATAAAAAAAGAAATTTTAAAAAATTTACAAACTCTGACCTTTATAACAACAAATATAATGAAGTTTCTGATTGTGAGAGCATGTGCTTGACACAGGAGAAGAGAAAATCACAAGAGATGAAGAAAAATAAGCATAAAAATATAAATTACTCAAGTTGGCATTTGTTAAATGAAGAAACAGGTGTGTGATGTAAAGTTCAAAGTCAGGATTGATCAGTGAATATCCGGGTAGTTCACAAAGGCCTCAGAAAGGATCAGAGTATTTTGTGCTTTGAAGGACCGTGAGACTTAAAACAGAGGAGAATATTATAGGCACAAGAGAAATATTATTTAAAAAGTCCAGAAATGAAAGTGTGAAGAGCTGTTGTTGAAACAATAAATTAACTTGACTTGCACAAAAGTCAAGAAAAAAAAGTTTTAAGAACCTGGAGGCTCCTTTAAATTCAAAGCAAGGGAATGGGGGCTTTGGACAGGGAAGGTAATAGACAGGTTGGGGGAATGTAAACAGGAGAATTGCTTCCAATTGTGTTTCTCAAAAGACCACCATAAACAGATTCAAGCTCTGAATAATCTGGCCAGCCCTCTCTGGACCAACTTCCCCCCTTCTCATTAGCCCTGTGTTTTGAAAAAATTCTGTTCAAAAAGTTTTGTAGAGCAGAAACAAAGGGCAGAACTGATGGGATTAGTGCTTTCCTAGTGGTGGAACCATAAATGAAGGAAGAAGTGATCGTATTCACAGCGTTGGGGAAAGAGATATGGCTGAGGCAAGGATTCTATCTTTGGAGGAATTGGTATTGACAAGGAGAAAATTCTGAGATGTCCTAAATTAAATTATAGCAGGACAGAGGGTGGAAGGAAGAGACAAAAAGGGGTTAGTCATTAACAACTGCAGTGCAAAAGCAACAGAAGATGGCAAACACTCCTTAATGTATGTTTGAATTATTAAATTAGCCTGCAGGTGGCCAGTTCTGAAATTATCTAAAAGGCAAGACTAGCCGGGCACCATAGAACCCAAGGAGCCTCTGCTGCTTGTTTACACAGGAGTTTTACAGACTCTGCTGCCCCACTCCCAGAACTAGACCCCATTCACCTTCTCCTACCTCTTTGTTTATAGATAATGTAAATGCTTTCTGAAAGGCTTTCTCCTGCTACTTAATGTATAAAAAACACCTGCAAAGTCCTCCAGAATCAGACATGTTGTCTTTCCTACATGGCCATGCTGCTGGTGGTTTAGACTCCATGTGCCAAGACCGGTCTTTTTTGCTAGCAATGGCCTAATAAACTTTTTCTTTAAAAAACAAAATAACAAAACAACTTTCAGCCGTGTAAGTTAAAATATTTTTTAACAATATTAAAAATTTTATTAACCAATATCACCCCAACAAATTCAATTAAAAAAGAAAGAGCCTGGTCAGATTCTATGCCAGTCAGCGTCAAAAGCTCCACCTCCTAGGCAGCCATTGGCTCCTTACAATTCACCCAGATTTGGTTCTCAATGGTCGGTTTCTATGCCAGTCAGCATCTCTGGGCCTATCTCAGGGCCTGATCGGAGAGGCAGGGCTGATCAGCAGCCACTCCAGGCTGCTGGCTAGCGGGCAGAACTGCTGACCTCTCAGGGAGAGAGAGATAGGCAAGGCTGCTGTTGAGGCCCCGGGAGAGAGAGAGGCAAGGGCGGATCAACAGCTGCCACGAAGGCTGCAGATCAGACCCTGCTTCTCTCTCCGGGCCTCAACTGCCTCTGCCTGCCTGCCTGATCGCCCCTAACTGCCAGTTTGATAACTTTTACCAAAGAAAGTTTTAAGGGAGGACCAGGAGCAATATAGGTCACCTTTTGGAGGAATAAGGAGTTTATATCCCCTACATCCCCCAACCAAATCTGACACTTGTAATCATGTAACCTCAGAATCATGTAACGCTCAAATGTTGCTCTTCTGTTTAATGAAACACTGAGTTGCTTTTTGGAGACAACAGACCAAAACTTCAAGTCATGCAGCTAAAGCATCTGCAGAGGAGAGATCTTTGATCTCCAGCAGCCAGAAACCAAAGTCTTGCTTCACCACCCCTCACTTCACCCCCCACACTCCCCTACACATGGAATCAAAGGACTAGCAGTGGTTCTCAACCTTCTGGCCCTTTAAATACAGTTCCTCATGTTGTGACCAAACCATAAAATTATTTTCGTTGCTACTTCATAACTGTAATGTTGCTACTGTTATGAATTGTAATGTAAATATCTGATATGCAGGATGGTCTTAGGCGACCCCTGTGAAAGGGTTGTTCGACCGCCAAAGGGGTCACGACCCACAGGTTGAGAACCGCTGGACTAGGGTATAACTAGACCTTGAACACCAGAACACTTTCAGAAGCAGAGGGTCCGGTTGTCCAGGAAGATCCTGTGTTGGTGCTCCTTACCATAAATGGCCAAGCTCCAAGGTCCTCCAATAAAACTTGCCTCACCAATGCTTCCACATACCATAGTGTTCCACTGAAACGCTTTAAATCCCTGTCCGAACCCTGGATCAGAGAGTCTGGCCTTCGAGCATCAGCTTCCTTTTCTCCTGGGTGGTGCCATCTCTATATATAAAAGCCTAAGCAACCATTATGACCAAACGACCAAAACAACTGGAATGACCAGATGACCAGCTGTAGGTATGATGCGCACTGACCCAGATCTTGCTGCTGGGACCCTGACAGCCCCAAATCTGGTTCACCCACACCCCGGACCCAGACAGGAGGGAGGAGGGAGCCCAATTCCTTGTGGAATTGGCCATTGGTCAGCTTGCTGCTGGCGCTAACCTCCCTCGGTCCCTCCCCCCGGCAGGCCGGCCCCCTGATCGGCCTCGATCACTGGCCAGGCCAAGGGACCCCACCCGTGCACAGATTCGTGCACCGGGCTTCTAGTTCATAATAAAATAACCAGTCTTTCTCCACTGCAATTCGTAGTGTTTACTGTTTGGCTTTGCTAGCACAAGATGAACGAACTCTTTCTGTTCTGTAACAATCATATCTTGTATGAAAGTTGCTGAGCTAGTTAACTGGCAAAAAAGACAAGTGAGTTTGGGTAGCCTCCACCCTCCTTCTGCGTGGAGTGGTTGCTAGAGTTTCCTGCAGAAAATGGCAAGGGTTTAAGGAATTTTGCTGGTAGTCCCAAAGAGGGCCACTGCTTTGGCAATAGAATCTTGGCGGCAGCAGGAGTTCTATTTGATCATGGCATTGGAATGTCTATTGGTGGGATGTTCTGAGTTGGGGCAAAATTTCAGCTTCATTTGGATCCCTGTTTTCCCTCCCTCTCACCTCTCCACCCTGCCCCATCCCTCTTCTCTCCTGACAATAAAGAAAATATAGTACAGACATGCTTGATCAATTTTCTACCTCTGACTTTTGTAATACTTGATAGAGACTATAAGCTCCACAAGGCCTAGGTCTTGTCTGTTTCTGTTCACCTTTGTACCCCCAGGACAGACACAGTGCCTGGCATGCAGCATGTTTTCAATGATTATCTGTTGAATGATTGAATGCTTAAATGAGTGGTTTAACTGGACACATGAAAATAGACATACATGTAGTAAAAAAAATTATTTATTCACTTGGTTTTTTATTCACTCTTCCACAAATATTTACTGAGCACTTATGACAGACACACAGTTAGATGCTAGGAGTACAAAATCCCTGAGTAAAATAATCTAACCCAGGGGTCTTTCCCAACGAGGTAAAGTCAAAGAAATAGTTCTTTATTCAGTTGGTAGAATGACTCGAGTCCTCTGCATATAACTGTAGTAACCCCAGAAAAGTGGAAAGAAATGGAATACATTTCCTTTCATCACAGCACTCTCAATCTGCAGTCCAGAGAACACAGCCAGGTGCAAAATACTAAACTTTCATGCAATGACACATTCACGAACAAGAAAATTATTAATATACCAACAACTGGACCAAAACACTGGAGCTCTCTGAGTAATTCAGTGATCATTACTCATAATGTGTCTGTCAGAGTTTCCATCTGCCCACCAGGCTCACCCCACCCTCTGCCACAATAACTCCTCTCATGCTGAGCTCACAGTCTGTGTCTACATCTGTGTCTACAGGCCCCTGTTAGTCTCTCTTTCAAGAAACCAGTTTTTTTCCTTCTGAAAAAAAAAAACACAAATTGTATTTCCTTTGGAAAAATACAATTTGCAATTACATATATATAATATTTTTTATTGATTTTTTTCAGGTGAAGTTTTTAATTCAAAGATAAATCAGTCCTTTTAAGAAACCAAAAATATTTTGACAGGTTTATGTTTGACTTTCAAAAGCAATACCACTTTTGTGTACTGAAAAATAAAATCTTTAAATTGGACTTGTTGGTCCCATTCGTCATCTAGTAATTAATGTATTTGCTACTATTTACAAATAAAAATGTATCTTTTTAATTCCTTTGCTAAATCCTAGTCCTCTATGTATTAACCTGAATAACATGCATATTTTAATTTTTAAGGCAGATGGTAAACTTTTCAATAGGTCTTGTTAGATTTCATCTCATCATGGGGCAAACACTTTCACAAAATGTAATAATTCCTTTTTTAAGGTTGATGTAAAGAGAACTTGAGCAACTAAATAGCAAAAGTACATAGGCAGTATACATGTTGCCTAAGATGCTATGATTATGTTCTCTGCTTTTCCATTTGGCCAGGGTGGCTACAGTGGAAAACAGGAACTAGTACAAAGCCTGAAAATAAAATGTGAACCCAAATCTCAAGTGCATTTTAGGAAAAGTACCAATTGCCCAGCTACCTCTTCACAGCAGCTGCAAAGGAAGAAATGTTCTTCTCTCATAAGACTTTCAATTCCATGACGTTACATTCACACCTGCTAACCTGGGTGAAGAGCTTTAGACCAACTTAAACAGAAAACTACTTTTGTTAATACTAAATACTATTTTTCTCTTAAAGCAAGAAAATTCTGGCATTTCCAGTGTCAGGAAGCACAGATACTATTAATCATTCTTTGCACTTAGACGTTCCTTTTTATCCTGTCCTGAAGGATGAACAAAAGCTTGAGGTGTGCGGTTCAGAAGGTAAACTGCAGCACGAAGACCGCCTATGTTCACCCAGACAGTGTGCACTTTCCACCATACATGTTCCATTCCAGATAATGCCTTTGTAAAGCATTTCTTGTCCTGAGTAAGTAGTGCAGCTTGGCCTGTCCCTGGTTTACAGATATGGCTCATCTCCCACAGGCAAGCTGGGTAAAAGTTCCAGTTTCTTGTCTTGGAGCCCATCCTTTTCCCAAATGGCATGTCTGTTACAATAATGTCCACAGAGCCAGTTCTTAATGGCAGATTGCAGATATCCCACTGAATAGCATCTATGGGCAAGCCCCCGGACAATTTGCCTTCTTTAATTTGGCTCTTTGTCAGTAAAGATGAGATGTTATTTGCTGCTCTGTTCACAGCCAATGGATTATTATCACCAGCAATATGAAAGCAGTTAGACCATTCAGTAGCCCCCTCTATTGGTATTGCCCCTGTTCTACACATCGGATCAACTATTATATCAGAAGGTTGAGGAGCACAGAGCCAGAGCATCCCATAAGCAAGAGTAGATCTTAGAGTTGTAGGTCCAAAATGTGTGATATTTCTTCGGTGGAGACTCTCTTCTGTCAATGCGATGCCCACAATGACTTCATTATCATGGATATTCAAAAGCACCTCCACATCAAAGTTGGTCCTGTCAGCCTTCCACTTAAAATAATCTTGAACAGCACCCCCAAAATCTCTTGCAGCCTCATTTGAGGAAAAGCAATGTTTCTCTCCTGCCCTTTTTTATTGATTTTTTTACAGAGAGGAAGGGAGCGGGATAGAGAGTTAGAAACATCGATGACAGAGAAACATTGATCAGCTGCCTCCTGCACACCCCCTTGTCAGGACCAGCCTGACAGGTTGAGCCGGGCTGAGGTAGGGAGGTGGGAATTGAGAAAAGAAAGAAAGACAGGAGAGCAGGATCGGGAGGACTGCAGCTCAATCAAGGAACTGCAGCAAGTTTATTAACCACACAATGCTGTTTATACACAAGACACTGAATAGGAGGTCTGTCAAGAGGAATGTATTCTTTGTTCCTCTTAATCTCTAAGGGAGAGACAGAGCAGAAGGACAAATTCTCGGTACAGCAAATCTCAGTAAATAGTTACAGATTTCTTGGTAAGTCATGAAAGGCTGTTCTCATTCTACAAAGGTTGCTCTCATTCTACTGATAACCACCATCCAAACAAGCCTGGGAAAACTGTGTGGGTAAGGGTCCCAGCCTTGCTAGCCCCTTCAGATGCAAGGACCCTGTCAGCTTACACCTGGTCTCCAACACCTCCTACTGGGGATGTACCCACAACCAAGGTACATGCCTTGACTGGAATTGAACCTGGGACCCTTCAGTCTGCAGGCCAACGCTCTATCCACTGAGCCAAACCGGTTAGGGCCATATATATATATATTTTTGTTTCTAGTCTTTCTACTTTACTAACCTACAAGCTCCAAAAACAGGAAGACTTTGTTTTAATCAGGCTATCTTTCCATTGCTTTGCACTGTGCCAATAAATATTTGTTAAAGATATGAATTAAGGATCACAGCCAGATCTGCAGCTGGCCGGGCACCGTTCTGGGATCCCCGCGCCCCACCACGACGGCACACTCCTTCGCTCTCAGGTCATCATCTTCACCACTTTCTGGGGCCTCATCAGCATCAAGGCATCCAACCGCCGAGAGATCATCACCATGCTGGTAGCCACCGCTGTCTGCTGTTACCTCTTCTGGCTCATTGCCATGCTGGCAGCTGACTCCCCTGTTTGGGCTGCAGCTGAAGAACAGACCATCTGGTATGTGCACTTCCTGTGGGAGTGACCACTGCCACTTCAGCCCAGGTGCCCCCGCTCTCTGGGTGACCTCGGCTCAAGGGTCCCTGTAGACCCCTTTGTCCCCACCCCCACAGCTGTGCCCTGGTCCCTCTGTGCTCCCTCACCCAGGGCCTTCCTGGTTCCCAGAGGTACCCCTTCCCCAGCCAATCAGCCTGAGCTCAGAGTCAGGCTGGAGCAGGAGAGAGCCACCCTCGCACTTTCGCCACCCCTTTCCAGCAGAACCTGCCCAGGAGTTGACAAGCCTGGGAACTGCCCTGAGCAATGGGGAGCCCATGGAAGGCCATGTGTCCTGTGGAGAAGGGCCACCAGCCCAGGGAGATCTGAGCCTGGGGTGGCCAGGCCAGAGAGGAAGCTCTGGGTGGGAGGCGGGGGCGCAGTTACCAGGTCTGTCCCATTCCGGAAGCCCCTCTGCCTCCAGGCCTCCTTACCTGGGCAGTGGAGGAAGGGGCTTCTTCCAGGGTGGCAAAGACCTTTCTGGGAATTCTTGAATTTTCTGACACAGCCAGATGTGGAATTTCTGAAAATGTTGAAGTAATGGAAAAACATTCACACCAAGAGCACCATAGTAATTTGGGTCCGGATCGAAACTTGTATGTTTAATATTCTTTATAGCTGTAAAGTCACTTAAATTGGCCTGCTCAGAAAGTTGTACCTTCTCAGAATATCTGGTTCCATTCTCCTCCCACACCTGCCCGCCCCGCTCTGGGGATAAGACCCTACCTCCCCCAGAGACTCAGAAATAGGGTAGCTCCTGCACCTGGGGTGGGAGTAGGGTGGTGGGGGAGGGAAAGAATCACCACCATATTCCTGCTTTAGTTATCTTGATACCTGTCTGAGAAGACTGCAGTGCTATTGCAAGAAACTCCCAATGTGACGGGTAGCACAGGATTTATCCTTCTACATTGAGCTAAATGACTGTTTTCACCTATGGTGAACAAAAACATCTTATTTATTTATTTATTTATTCATTTATAATTGTGATAAAGACTCTAGTTTGCTTTTCAAAATTGGTATTTAAATTTTAAATGATTCATTTCCACATTTAAGTGATATTGGCTTTACTAAAATTTTAGAAAAAAAATTTTAAAGGTCCACTGACTTAGAAAAACATATCACAAATCAAGCAAATTATATAATTACTAGTGGCCCAGTGCATGAAATTCGTGCACATTAAAAGGGGATTAATTAGAGGAAATATTTTAATATTGCTATTTGCCCTTTCTCTATAATAGAAGTGTCAGAGATGAAAGAAAATTAGTAAAATGTATATGAAAATCTTCCTCCTGTCAGAGTCTGGGGTGCGCCATGGGACCTAGAGTCAAGTCCCCGCCCAACCGCGGAGCCTCAAAATCGCGCGAGACCCACACCCAGCCAGCCCCACCCCCATTGGGCGAGATCCAGACCCAGCCGGCCCCACCCTTGTCAAGCCCCACCGTACAAGGGGCATGGCTTGAGGTCCCCCAGCCAGGCCCAGGGCGGAGGGCGCACCTTGAGGTCCCCCGTCAAGCCCCGCTGGGTGGGGGGCATGGTCTGAGATCCCCCATCAAGCCTCGCTGGGTGGGAGGCATGGTCTGAGATCCCCCGTCAAGCCCCGCCAAGCAAGGGGTGCAGCCTCAGGTCCCCCGGCCCGGCGCCAGGTGGGGGGTGCCACCTGAGGTCCCCGGGCCTGGGGCAGGGGGAGCAGCCTAAGGTCCCCCAGCCCAGCACCGGGGTGGGGAGTGCACCTTGAGGTCCCCTGTCAAGCCCCACTGGGCGGGGGGGGGGGGGGGGAACAGCCTCAGGTCCTCTGTCTCAGCCCAGCGCCACACAGCCTCAGGTCCCTGCTGATTGCTCATTAAGGCTCGTTACGGGAACTCAGCCTGTGCTGTGGGTGCAGCCCTCTTGTGTTACAGAAACCCCACCTCCGCTGTGGGTGCAGCCTCTTTGTGATGGTGTGATGGTCAATTTGCATATTCCCTCTTCATTAGATAGGATATATTAAATAAATATCATTGGGTTGTTTGTTTTCTTTTTTACTTTTCTTTTTATTGAGATAGAAATGACATATAACATTGTGTAAGTTTAAGGTATACAGTGTGTGGGTTTAACACATTTATATATTGCAATAGGATGACCACCATAGTGTTGGCTAGCCTTCGCCTCACAAAATTATCATTTTGTGTGTGTGATGTGAACATTGAATATCAAGTCTCTCAGCAACTTTGAAGTACATGATACAGCACTGTTGATTGCAATCACTATGCTGTGCCTTCGAGCTCCAAAACTTATTCATCTTCTAAATGCAAATTCCTACCCTTTGACCAACTCTCCAATTGCCCCAGTCCTACTTAAAAAAACCCCAGAATCATTTAATTAAAACAACAACCCCATTAATTTTTGTTCCTATTGTAATGTGGTGTATTTGTGGGTTTATGTCTTTAAATAACTTACATATGATGAGGACACTTGTAGGTAAGGTGATGAGAGAAAACATCTATTCTTTACTGAGATTTTAAAAACAGACCACAACCTCTAAGCTTGAAAACAAAACCACAGTTAGATTGTGCCATATTCTGGTCTTTAGAGGGAGCCACTGCTACCATTGGCTTTCTAAATCTTAAACTTATTTATAGAGAAAATTCTCTCTGTTTTCTTCTTGACTAACATTGTAAAATACAGGAACGCTGCCTATTAGAATTTGAATTTATGTTTAGATTTTTTTCAGAGAGGTTTAAAGGTCCTGCTGTATTCACTAACAAAACATACCACCAGTTAGAAAATGAGGAAGAGAACCTTTTGAAAGGAAGATGACTAACCTCTCAGGGTCACAGTCTTAAGATCGTGGTGAATTAGCAAATTGCAACACACGGATTTTGCCCTAAAAAACAAAACAAAACACAACACAAAGAAACATTCTGTACTGACTTCTCATTTTGACCCCAGTAATTACTTCTCAGCCTATAATTGTGCTTGCCCTTTAATTTCCTCCTCTGGTGATAAAGGAAGCTGCAGTTGGTAAACGTTTGAGTTGAAAACATCAAACAGGACAATTACATGAGAAAATGGACAAGCTGGGGCAGAGATGAAGGCAGGAGTCTGTGCCCTCTTGTTCCTCCATTTTCCTTTCTCTTGTTCTTTTTGCCATCATTTCTTATCATATTACCTTTTTTTCTTAACCTTTTCTGCCAGTCTTTTTCCCTTCTATCACACCTCTTCCTTAAGCTCACCAGTTAAAGCGCTGGAGAACACTTTCAACTTGGACCCCAGTGGTAACTACAATATAATGTAAAGCACATTCCTTTCTGTAGAAACATAACCCACAAGTTTTTCTGTCTACAATAGCCCTGAAATGAGAATTTTTAACCTATAAAATTGTTTAACATTTTGTTTTACTTTTCATGAAAACCTACAAATTCATATCTTTACAATTTAGTATAACCAAGGGTATGGTAAAACAAATAACCTCTTACATCAATCGTAGCACTGTAAATTGGCATACCCTTTCTTTGATCCAGAGAATCCACTTGTAGGAAGGAGTTGGTCATAGGGAAGTTAAGATGTACACAAGGGTTTTTGTCCAGGGAAGTTTATCCCAGAACTACTGATAATAGCAAAAAATTGGAAATCACCTAAATGTCCAATAGTTCTTGGTCCAGTGATCTTTGAGATTCCCCAGTTTTCTGGAAAGGCCTGGGGTTTTTACTTTGTACTTAGCACCTGAAGCTCAGTCGGTTAGGTGAAACCCCGGAGGCCATGCACCTTACAGTTAATGACTGCTGGTCTTCTGAGTACTTAGAACTTCCAAATACTTTCAGTTTTAACCCCCACTACTAATATAAAAAGCTAGTTCTTTCAAGCCACAGAAAAGCCTGGGAATTTTTATGTATTTCTCTTGTGAATTGATTATTCCCATGCCAGACAATCATGATCAAATTCTTACTATTTAATTTCCCCTTTTACATACTTCCTGTATATAAACATAACCCACCTTTACTATATATTATTCCATACAGGCTCTAAAATAACTAAGTTACAATTTTCATTTTAAAGACACATCCTGCTCACTTAGATGAGTCCTGGGTATTTGTCTTATTTCAGCACTCTATGTGTGTGCCTTTAGTGGGTGATTCCTGAAGATGGCTACTTCACCCAAGTTAGGGAAATACTAACAATTCAGTAAATGGCATTGGAGCAATTGATCATTTGTTTGGTAAAAATAAAGTTAGATTCTCTACCTAACACTGTTCAAAAAATAAATGCTGGAAAGATTAAAGACCCAAACATAAACTACAAAATCCTAAATATATCAGAAAAAAATATAGGAGACTATGTTTATGACATTGAGAAACTCGAAGTCCTTATAAACCAGACCCTAAATGCAAAAGACATAAAGGGATTCGATAAGTTTGACTCCATTGCGACTGATATATTTGAAGAGCATGTAACGCTTCTCTACTCCAAAAGGCATCATAAGCAAAGTTACAAGATTGATAAATTTCAACAACATGAACAACATGTTTAAGCAAAGTTAAAAGACAAGTGACAAATTTGGAGATAATATTTGCCACATGTACCATACAGAAAGGACTAGTATTTAGATCTATAGAGCACTCTTACAAAAAAGAAAAAAGAAAAAAAATACTCAAACCAATGGAAATATGGAAAAATAATAGGATAAGTTATTTATAGGAAAATAAATACAGTTGGCCAATGAACATATGATAGCTGATCCTCACCAATTATCAAGAAAAATTGGTTGATTATATATATTTTTAAATGCTTATTTATTGATTTTTAGAGAGAGAGAGAAAGGTGGGGAGAGAGAACATTGATTTGTTGTTCCACTTACTTATGCATTCATTGATTCATTCTTGTATGTGCCCTGACTGGGGATCAAACCCAAAACCATAGAGTAGGGAGACAAGACTCTAACCAACTGAGCTACCCAGTCAGGGAAAAATTGATTATATTTAGAACACTGAGGTAATTTTCAACCATTACATTGGCAAAAATGAAACACATTAATAAAATATTGACATGGGTGTGGGAAAGCATGCAGACACTGCTAATGGGAACATTAAATTGATATAGCCATGTTGAAGGGCAATTTAGCAATATTGAGTAAAATAAAAGTACAAGTAGATTATGATCCAGCAATTCCAGATATCAGTGTCTACTTTGCAAAACACTGACATTTTGCACAGGAAAACATGTACAAGCATGTCCATTGCAGAGTTCCTCATAAGGAGAAACTGGAAAAACTGAACCACGAATAGACGAATGACTAAGAAAGGGGACATTCAAACTATGTATGCAGTGGTATGAGGCAGCTAAAAGAATGTGGTAGGTCTGTGTCAAACTGGATAGCTCTTCACAGCATCCAGCTGGGCAAAAAAGCAAGTTATAGATATATTTTTCTATGTAAAAAGAAAATAAAGGGCACTACAGAATGAAATTACATATTTCCTAAGGGACACGTGTAAATATAGGTAAATGTTGAAAGAAGCACTGAGAGGATGCTAACCTAATTGATAACCC